TTGGAGGCCAGGTTGGAGGCCATTGCTCTTAGGCTGGAGGCCATTGCTATTATTTTGGAGGCCATCGCTCTTAAGTTGGAGGCCATCGTTCTTAGGTTGGAGGCCCTCGCTCTTAGGGTGGAGGCCGTTGCCATTGCTATTAGGTTGGAGGCCATCGGTCTTAAGCTCGGCCATCGGTCTAAAGCTGGAGGCCATCGCTCGCCATTGCTATTAGGGTGGATGCCATTGCCATTGCTATTTCTTAAGTTGGAGGCCATTGCTGTTGGGTTGGAGGCCATCGCTCTTAAGTTGGAGGCCATCGCTGTTGGGTTGGAGGCCATCGCTATTAGGTTTGGCGGCCTAGCTTTGTCTCTGCAAGGTTTCCTGGTTTTGGACTGGCAGTTAGAATATGTTCCCCTGCTTTCTGAAAGGCCCATATTCTATCTGCGAGGGTCATTATCAGGGTCATGGATTTTGGAAGGTTTGGGGCATCAATTTAGAACGGAACTATTTGAAGTCCATATTCTAACTGCCCGTCCTCCATTGTATATACTGTATACATACCCTTCAACTTGATTTGTGGCGCGCTTCAGATCCTGAATGAGCGACCGTGATTGGGATTCGTTGTTTGGAAAAAGAGTATGTTTGAAACACACTGTTTTTGTATGCATTGACGCTGCATACTACATGCAAGTTCTTGACTTTCTTGATTGACTAATGTTGCTTTGGACCCAACGTCCCCATGCAAATTGGGCCTAGGGGCGGTGGTTTGATTCTTTTCCGCCTTATGCAGCGTCCCTTTGTGGATGAACTGACTCTCGCCCAGCTGATATGATTTGCCGCTCTTTGTGCACGTCAATTTGTGCGTAAAGGATTCTTACAGGTTAAAATATGTTTGCGAATGGTAAACAGAAGCACTCATGACCCCTGCGCAACGATGACACACACACACACACGCAAATCAAGTTGTGCACCGAAGGCCCGCTTTACAGCATAAAGATCCGCATGGTAGTGGAGCCCGGAGATCCGCACGGTAGCGGAGCCCGGGATCGTCAGGGTCTGACGTGAGGCTCGAGGAACCAAGCTGCCTTGGATCTTGGCTGCCAGACCACGGCCCTTTCGGCGCCATAGCGGCGGGCAATCCCTGCTAGAGGCTTTCTGGAGAAAGAGTTTGGCGATCACTGCCTCAGAGGCTCCCTCTCGGTGAAGTTTGCTTGGAAGAGCACGAGGGCACTTGCTTGCATCCATTTGGACTTCGAGCTGAACCAGGGACTTTGAGAACTTCGAGCCCTACGATGGCTGGACAGGAGGGACCTCCTCAGGCTGCCCTGGACGGGGCAGAGATTGCCCGAGGATGACGCAGGCTGCAGAAGCGGCAAGTGCTGCTGCTCAGATGGCTGCCCAAGCACTTCAACTACAGAAACAAGGGCGAACAGGGAGCGAGCCGGCGTGGTTCAAGATCTTGCCAAAGCCAAATGGCTTCAAGGGAAGAAGAGCTGAGCATGTGGAGGGACTTCAGTTGGGGCCTAGAGCAATATCTGGCTTCCATGGATGGAGAGTTTGTCAGCGACTTCAAGGATCTTCGTGATCGCCCTGACAGGCCAGTCGACCCTTCTCTCTGGGGTGATCGAGAGAAGCAGAGGAGCAACTTTCTCCACTCCGCTTTGGCCTTGATCAAACAGGTCAAACAGGCCAATGGACTGGAGGCGTACAGACTGTTGATCAACAGCCTTGAACCAGCAAGCAAAAACAGGTCCCTCGGCCTCTTGACCATGATCCTGGAGTGGAAATTGGCAAAGAGGGCAACCTCCTCAACCAGTTGCTCAAACTGGAGGAGGCCTTTGGAGAATACGAGCCAACAGGCGTGAAGCTCGATGACACCATCAAGTTCGCAGTGCTGATGAGGTGCGTGACTGGCCAGCTGAAGACTTGGCTGCAGCTCAATGTGGCAGAGACCCAGGACTACAGCAGGTTGCGTGAAGCCATCGTTCAGTATGACAACGCCACATTGAAGTGGAACAATGCCATGATGTTGGGCCAGGAGACGAACAGGGATGGTGCAGTCCCCATGAAAATCGATAGGATCACGGAGAAGGGGAAAGGTGGCAAGAAGGGAAAAGGCAAGGGAGAGCAGAAGGGTGGCAAGCAAGGCGGCAAATGGAAAGGCCAGCAGAAAGGCCAAGATCATGGAGGCGGTGGCAAAGGCCAACAAAAGGGCTCATGGAAGCAAGAGAGCGGCAAGGGCTCTGGGCAAGCCCGCCACCTACCTCGTGATTGGACAGCCAGGGCTCACCAAGTGACGCAGCCACCGCAGTGACGACAAGCTCAAGCCAGGCGACAACCACGAAGCAGCCTGGCATCACGCGCATCGAGTTCGTGGAGGAGGAAGTTTCACAGGTTTCACAGGAATTCAATAATTTGATGATCGACCTGAGGCCGAACACAGGGGCTGGAGATGTCTGATCAAGTTCTACCACCTGGTGGCTGAGCCAGACACACGCGCATGTGCTGTCATGTCAGGGTATGTTCTCCGACCAGCCCATTTTCCGGTTATGCCTCCTTGCAAACGTCCCTGGAATGAACCTGCCGGCCCAGGCCATGACATCCCAGATGATGAACCTGACATCACAGCCCCGCCGGCCAAGAAAGCACGCCTGCCATGGGCCTTGTCCCAGAGTCCTGCAGAGAAGAAGCCCAAGTTACAGAGTGGTTGGAAGCAGGAGGGAGAGATGTGGATTGGGGTGCATCTGGGCAGGAGGTATCAAATTCTTTAATCTATGGGAGCGATCTCTCCAACTACGCCATGGAGAAGGACCACTTTGATGAAGAGTGGGCAGCAACGGCTTCTCATGGAGATGTGTGAGAACTTACACTCTATGAGGGACCAAGGGGAGCCACTCGAAGGAGCTGAGGACAATGTCTTGGTGATGACCACACTCATGAAGGAGGGTATGACTACAGAGCAGATGGGCTTTGAGGTCGACGCGAAGAGCAAGCCACGAGCTGACGCTCTGGAGGTCAGAGAGCATGAGATTCCAATAGATGAGCCCAATCAACCTGAACCACGTGATGAGGGCATGAGAGAAAGGAGAGAAGACGAGGCAGAGCAAGAAGGGCATCTTGTGGTGGGACAGCGACTCCCTGAGACTGGTCAATGAGGTGGAGTTGAGACCAACTTCAAGGCTGCTAAGGGCGGCTTGCAACTTTTTCAGGATCAGCCAATCTGGCAGCAGACTGAAGTGCGTTCAGAGGCTGGTCAGTCGCGCTCGAGAGAGGTCAGAATCTGATTCCAGTACCAGGTCCAGAAGAGCAGGAAAGACACTGCCTGACACACACACACACACACACACCCTATGCGCCTTGGTGTGAGGCCTGCCTGGTTCATCGAGGACGACCAGATCGACATCTCCGCGCTGGAGCTTCTCGTGAGCGGGATTCCCATCATCAGCCTCGACTTCTGTTACACGAAGACTGGAGCAGTGGACAGGGCCCACAACCTTTGGATCGTGGGGAGATGGATTGATCTCTTTGGTGAGGGAGAGCAGGAGAGAGAGAGAGAGAGAGAGAGAGAGAGAGAGAGAGCAACGGCCACTGCGTGAAGTGAAGGCGGCAATGTGGCTCATGCTGGTGTGCTCGCAGACTGGAGCGCTATAGGAGCAGTTCCCTTACGAGGAAAAGATCAGATCCATCTGATGGCAAGGGAGGTGATGACCTTCATCCAAGGTCTGTGACACACCGAGGTTGGTATCTACAGTGACAATGAGCCCGCCTTGAGACCTTTGTTGAGAATCATCCTCAGCAGCAGACATGCCATGGGCTTGAGGACAAGGATCTACACCATAAAGGTGAAGGACCTCCTTGGCAGAAAATGCCATTCAGAGGGTGAGGGGTCTGGCCTGCACCATGATGGAGGACTTGATGAGCCGCACTGGATTGAAGATCAACACGAATCATGGTCTCTGGAGGAGACATGCGTGTTGGACACTCAACAGGTATCAAGCCTCAAGAGGAGTAGTTGGTGCATGGAAAACCCTATGATGGAGTCCTAGTTCCTTTGGATGCCCGGCCTATGCCTACAGCAAGCCCCAGTCTGGCAAGGGAAATCCAAAGTGTTGGCGATGGCGCGCAAGTGATGCTGACTCGCTCAGTGAGGAGGTTGAACAGGCCGTGGAGCAAGTACTTGGCTTACTATTCCAACTTTGTGACACAGAGCAGGGAGTACCAGAAAGAGTTGTTCCTGCCAAGCGAGCAGCAGGACCATTGCCACCACAGGTGCCCATGAAAGCCTTGCCAGATGGAGTGCTCGTCAGGCATCGAGATGAAGAAGCCGAAGCTGCTCAGAACTATGCCAAGCCAAAAGAAGGTGTAGAGGAGCGTCAGCGAGAGCTTGAGGACGCTCGACAGGAAGACCTAGCTGATGTGGATACCCCCATTAGAGGAGGTTGGTGTGCCGGCTCCAAGCGCCGCAGAGACAAGAGCTAAGACAAGGATTGCAGACCGCCATCTCCTGATGTTCAGTCTGGTGACGAGCCCTACACGAGACACTACAGCCACTACCATGGGATGATGAGGAGCCACAAGGACGAGTCCTTAAGAAGACACCGCCACCAAGTACGGCAGTGAGGGTGAAACCGCAACACAAGAAAGCTAGATTGGAGGAGGAGAGTGCAAAGAGACAGAGAAAGTGAAGCTGCGAGACTCTGGAGCCGCCTCTTCTTCGGCGGCAGGGAGAGACACCTACATGGATTTGGTGGAGCGCCGTATTGAGAAGGTCCAGCTGGAAGTAAGAGGAGGAGATGTACCACCAGGATGAGGTCATTGATGTGGAAACCATCGCGGAGGACGTCGACTTCTTCGACGCCGGAGACAAGGAGAATCCCGAAAGCGACCAGGTGGAAGTTATAGAGAACTTCCACGACAACCAACTACAGCGCCAATCATCTGAGCAGATAGCGCCAGTAGAAAGAGTAGACCAACAACCAGGACAAGAAGACGAGACAATGGAAGGATAAAATTTGGAGGCAGATGAAGACAACGATGAGATCCAAGAGGGTGAGATGATGGGCATCGTTCGACTGGACGATGGACGCCGCATTCAAGTGCCAATGAGGTACTTGGAAGCGAGAGAAGGGGATGACTCACCTGGCTATGAGGATGTGGAGATGGACGCAAAGCAAGCCAATGAGAATGGCGGCAATGATGGCAACGCAGGACAAGAAGAAGTACCAGATCAACCGATGAACCTGGTGGAAGGAAGCCAGGACAGAGTTGAGAGGCTCGATAGTGCAGCAAGCTCAGAGAGCGATCCGGAGTTCAGGGTGACTAGAACAGAGCCATGGGGACCGGATCCAGTGCAGCTGACTGCACTTGAGTTTGAATTTTACAATAGGATGTGAACTCGAGCAGCGCTTCGAGCACGAGAGGATTTGGTTTCAGTGGAGGCCAATTGGCACCACTATGTGAGGAGTTGGAATAGCAACTATGAGATCATGAAAGAACTTTTCCCATTCCTAGACTACTAGTTGGGTTGGCAGCTGAAGGCGCAACAACCCAAAGGGGGAGTGCGAATGGTAAACAGAAGCACTCATGACCCCTGCACACACACAAATCAAGTTGTGTACCGAAGGCCCGCTTTACAGCATCAAAAGATCCTATTTAATATACATTATACAGTCATATTTTTCCTTGGTGCATTAGAATCATCATTTTCGAATCCTCCCGGTGCGGTTTGTTGTTTGGGAGAGGGTAAGTGTCATCAAGTGTTTGTCGGCAGGCCCGGCAAGTGTTTGGAGGGAAGCAGTTGATACTTGACAGTTTTGATGATGTTGTTGCGTCCAATGCTGCCCTTCCTTCAGATTGAATTCTTTGCAGGTATGCGATTGACGCGGTGTCCTGCGACTTTGACGCAACTACCTGCGGGTGGCACTTTAGCGTGTTGTCCCCGTGGCGGCACGAAGAAAGCGAGAGTCCTAGCAACAGTTCTAGTAGGAATGGTTTCTTAGTGGTTGACCAGCCACAGCAATCAGGAATTTTCACGAATTTGTTTGAATCAAATCAGCACTTTGAGCAGCTAGCGTTCCACTACCGTTCAAAACAGATTTCGGCCAATCCCAAACTGGAACTTCGTTGTTTGGCTGCGACGTCGGCCTTGGATTCCTTCACTGTCTCTACGATTTGGTCTCTTGAGTTCATTGAAGGCAGCAGCAATGATGATTGGCATGAGACCAAAGTGGTTGTGCCAGCATATGCACGTGGCTTCATGTTTGTGTCTGCGGGAGTAGAAGCATCTATCGACAACATCTATGGGAGCAGCAATATGGAAATTCCTTCCGCCTATCTTTCGGTGGGTACCTTTGTATCATGCATGCTTTTCGTTGGTACTGAGACTGTTCGTTGCTGGGGCGCCGGCTCGTTCGGAATACTTGGGCAAGGCAGCACCCAAAACATTGGTGATGATCCAGATGAAATGGGAGATAACCTGAAGCCCATCGATTTGGGTACAGGTCGAACAGTGAAACAAGTGGCTTGTGGGTCAGCACACGTTTGTGCTTTGCTTGACAATGAAGTTCTGAAATGCTGGGGATATGGGTTGGAAGGACGCCTTGGTCAAGGTAACACAAAAAGTATTGGTGATGGGCCCAATGAGATGGGAGATAATCTGGCACCAATCGACTTGGGCATCAATCGAACCGCGAAAACAGTCGCAGCTGGAGAGCATCATACCTGTGCTATACTTGACAACGACTCCCTGAAGTGCTGGGGCTCCGGCTCGTTCGGAAAACTTGGGCAAGGCAGCACCAAAGACATTGGTGATGATCCCGATGAAATGGGAGACAACCTAGAGCCTATCGATTTGGGTACAGGTCGAACTGTGAAACAAGTGTCTCTTGGGAGAGATTTTACGTGCGCGTTGCTTGACGATGATTCGCTGAAGTGTTGGGGATATGGAGGAAATGGAAACCTTGGCCAAGGTAGCACAGAGCATATTGGCGATGAGCCCAATGAGATGGGAGACAATCTGGCACCAATTGATTTGGGCCCCAATCGAAAGGTGAAGCATGTCGTCGCTGGAGGTTTGCACACATGTGTGTTGCTGCATGATGAAACGGTTCTTTGCTGGGGTTTTGCAAGGCACGGCCAGCTAGGGCGTTGTTGCGCAGAAAACATTGGTGATAGCGAACATGAGATGGGCTACAGTTTAACTGCAGTTGATCTGGGCTCAATGCGAACAGCAAAACAAATTACCGCCGGATATATGCACACTTGTGCTTTGCTCGACGATCACTCAGTCAAGTGCTGGGGGCATGGTGTCTATGGTCAGCTTGGCCAAGGAGACAATTCTCATCTTGGTGACGACGCTGATGAAATGGGAGATCTCTTGGAACCGATCGATTTCGGCGAAGATCGCAAAGCAAGGCAGTTGGCCTCCGCCAGCGGCTACGATTTTCACTCATGTGTTTTGCTTGATGACGACTCGGTCAAATGCTGGGGATGGGGAAATGCTGGAGTTCTTGGTCAAGGAAGCACTGATAGCATTGGTGATGCTATGGCTGAGATGGGTGACTTTTTGCATCCCATCAATTTTGGCGCCCTGTCAACTGTCGCGCAGATTGACATTCGCCTGTTTGGCGGTAGTAGCATGCGAGGCCGGCTTCAGGTTCTGCACCGAGATTCATGGCGTGATGTGTGTGACGACAACTGGCACGGCGCCGACGCGCAGGTTGTGTGCCAACAACTTGGGCTAGCAGGTGGCGTCGCAACATGGCGTTTGGTCGGCAGTGGGCAGTTCTGGATGGATGACGTGACGTGTGTCGGTACGGAAGCCAATCTAGGCGCTTGCTCCTTCAGAGGGTGGGGAGTTCACAATTGTTTTTCCAATGAAGCTGCTGGTGTTGAATGCCATGTTGACGCCTGGAGTCATTTGGCTGACCCCGACATTGAATCATCAGCCGGTCGAACAGAGCATTCGGCAGTTTGGGATGAACGCCGCGGGTCTATGTTGGTGCTGGGAGGGCATGCAAGCTCTCACTTCATATATTATGATGACTTGTGGATCTACGAAGCTTCAGAAGCCCAAAGAGGCCCACTTTGGAACCAACTCCACGTGGCACCTGCACACCGGCATGGCCATACAGCAGTCTTTGATTCGGACTCAAGCACTATGTTGATATTTGGTGGGAGTTACACCACCAAGACTTATGATGAGCTTTGGCTATACAGTTTGTTGAACTTCACATGGACTCTTGTATCAAGCGCCATCAAACCAGAAGCGCGAGTATATCACTCAGCAGTTTGGGATGGTGATCATCAGCTCATGTTGGTTCATGCCGGGGAGAATGGCTTTCGTCTAGAAGACCTTTGGGAGTTTCGGCTACAATTTCAATCATGGAGACAGGTTGAAAGCACAGATAGCCCAAAGCCATCTCCGCGCAGTAGGCACTCAGCCATTTGGGCCCATGTTGCCGAAGCGATGCTGGTTTTTGGTGGTCTGGGAGCCTCGGCTCTCAGTGATCTTTGGCATTTTTCATTGTCCACCAACTTCTGGACACTGCTATCGCCAGCACTTGCTCCCGGTAGCCATTATGGCCACACTGCCATTTGGGATCCGACTGCTTTGTCGATGTTGACATTTGGTGGTGTGAAAACTCAGAACAGCTTTCAGAGTTATTCTGCAGATTTGTGGCGCTATAGTCTACTAGACAATTCTTGGACTCAGATGGCCCCGCCAGGACCTTATCCCAGCCCTTCAGCCCGAGAGGGACACACAGCTGTTTTCGACTCGTTGAAGCGGCATATGTATGTACTGGGAGGCTTCAATGCTTCGTACAAAAACGACATGTGGCGCTACAAAGCACCAGACTTCCAAGAAGTGCCCATGAGGGAATGCTCCTTGGGCCAGGAGTGTTCCATGGAGTTCGCAGACGTTCAAGGGACTCAATCGCAACTTGTGATTGTAGAGTCCGTTGGTTTGCTTTCTGGTCTGAATGACACTTCTTTCGCATACTTGGCGTGGGAGGGAAGAGAATTCTTTTTGGAAGGTTCCAATGCCAGCAAAAGCCTTGATTGGTTTGCAGAACCTGGGATATATCATATTCGACGGTGTCCTGTTGGCATGAATGCAAGCTGTGATCCATTGCAAGAGGTGGGAGTCAACTTTGGTATCTTCATTATAGCCGGTCCTTTCTCAAATCAATCTTTCAGGTGTGACCTCGGATCCCATTGCCTTGTCTATGGCTTGCAGGGCACAAGGCTTACAAAGGATGACAAGCTGCTCGCCATGAAAGAGTGTGGCACCTCACCGGCAACCTCCGCATTTGTAGACCCACAACCAGTCCATGGATCATACAGTGGCTTGGGCAACGTTACCTTTGACTTTGGGCTTTTGCCATTGGAAGGTTTTGCATCAGAGACTGTTCAGCTGTGTTGGTGCTCAGCTGGATCGACGTGCAGCGACCCGGAGGACTTCCGCACACCTGCCATGCAGCTGGATGTGACTTGTCCTCCAGGCACCTATGAACTTGTTGGAAGGACGAGGCGCTGCCATGTGTGTCCTCCGGGCTATTTTTGCCCCGGTGGGGTCTCTTTCATGGCACAGCTCAAGCAGTGCCCTTATGGCAGCACTTCAAGCAGGAGCTCGAGCTCTCTGCAAGCCTGCGAGTGTCGCCGTGGTCATTTCTTGGATGTGGAGACCGGTTCGTGTCTCCCTTGCTTGATTGGAAGCTACAAGGATGCTGTCGGTCCTTTCATGTGTCAAGCCTGTCCACTACACACAACAACCGTTAGTGCAGGTGCCATTGCAATCAGTGAGTGCATGTGTGCCAGTGATTGGTTTGATGTTCAACCTGCCCCGGATGTGTTTGATTGCACAATGCAGTCAAGACTTCCACAGCGCTACGTGTCAAACGATACGTTTGTAGGATTTGCTTCCACGCAGCGACAGGTCTACTCCTTCAACGGATCGATCAGTGTCGAAGGTTTGTCTTTGGAGGACTTGAGAGGAGCTCTGGAGGCTTATTTGGGTGAGCATGGTTTGCTCACCAAGCGAGCATCTTTTGAGTTGCACACCGCTGCTGAGGAGGCAACCGATTCTTGGGTCAACTATGAGGTTATGAGCTCGGAGGAGGAGAGTGCGGCTGAGCTTAGTGCAATGTTTGAGCCCTGGCCTTTCGCTGCTTGGGCCTTTCAAAGCTCTAGTTCCTTAGCAACAGCTGTGATGCTGAATCCAAGTTCAGTGAGGGAGCAGCTTTTGGAGTGCCCAGAGGGTATGGCTTTTGCGCCAGGAAGTTTAGCCTCAGGGCTTGCAGATTGCCAGTGTCCTCATGGCATGATGCCTTCTGGCTCTGGCTCCAGCTTGAGCACTGGCTGTGTGAAATGCCCACTCAGTTTTTACAAGGCTTCTGTGGGAGACTCACCCTGCACCAGCTGCAGCATTGGCATGGAGACACTCCAGGAGGGGGCTGTGTCATCATCCGCCTGTTCCTGCTCAGCAGGCTTTGTTGCCCAGGCAGGGGATTCATCCACCTGCGAAACATGCGGGAAGGGCAATTTCTGCCCTGAAGGAGCTTATAGAGAAGCCTGTCCAGAACATCAAACAACGCTTGTGGATGACGCAAAGACCAAGTCGGATTGCGTTTGCAATCCTGGTTTGGTACCTTCAGAGTTCGGCAATTGCGCTGGACCTTCAAGTGACCATGATTTTACTTGTGTTCGCGGCCATCTTTGCACATTTGAACAGCTTGTTCCTTTTGATGGCATAGGTTTGTCCGTGAACGGTCTGGTGTCTCTCAGGCATGGGTGTGGTTCTTTGCAATTTGAGCAGGTGTCGCCAGCAAATGCTCATGGCATTGCTACTATGATCGAGTGGCCAGATGAGGAGGCACCGAATTCCACTCGCTTTGCTCTGAGTTTCGGGGCTTGGCCGCCCGCAACCGACAGCGTTGGCGGCGCTGACCGTAGTTTGCATTTGGACGCAGGAGTGTACGATCTTTGTTGGTGTGGTGGTCCACCTCCTTGTGGAGTAGGGGATTTTGTTCTTTCTGCCGGCAAGTTGAGGGTGCAAGGCCCTCGTATGAACCAGGAAGTCAGTTGCTCTGTAGGGCAAACATGCGCACTTGAGAATGTGGAATTCGAGGGGGACAGCGAAGGAGCTGTGATCATGGTGTTGACCGATTGCGGCATGGGTGATGCTATTCCAGGCTTTCCTGGCCAGGGCATTGCAAAGAGTGTTGACACTAGGCTTATGTTCATTGCTTTTGTGGATTCACAGAGTTGGTTTCGTTCACTCCTTTTTAAGAGCTGTCACTGCTCCATCTCGCCCCAATTGTTACTGTTTTCCTCCTGCAACCAGTGTACTTGTAGTGGAGGTAGTAGCAGTAGTAGTAACAGCAGCGGTAGAAGTAGCAAGAGCACAGCCGATGCCAGACATCACAGCACTACATCACATGTCATCACGCCAAAATTCAATTCACCTGCTCCACCGGATATATATACTGTAGTGCGTGCTAAGCTGGTAAGCTAGCGCTGGTAGTGAGCCTTTCTTGGGAAAGAAACGGAGGTTGAAGTGGAACACTTGAATCAGGTGAAAGGCCGTTCACCCTGTCACAGCCTTCAAATGACCAGGCTCAGTTCCACACTTGAGGTGGAAAAGTACTGTATTTGAATTGGTTGTAGCGGCCGCATATGTTCATTGAACATAGAGTTCAATGTGACATGGCTGGAATTGTCGGAGATTTATACAGGAAAAAGCCAAAAGAGTGGAGCTGTGGAACGCAAAGCGTTCGTGAAAGCACACGTGCCACGAGCACGAAACGTATGACTCTCACTTGAAGACTCGGACGCACGGCGCGTCCGGTCCAAGGCGTTCCGAGCACTTCCCTTGCGAAAGGAGAAGGAGCGCTCTTCCATGGTAGCTCCAAAGGGATGGCTTGCTCCACACGCTGTTTGACTTCATAAAAGCTGCATTGTGTCATCCTGTTGGATCAGTTGGGTGGTTGGGGTTGTTCTGGATTGTGTCATCCTGTTGAAACGGTATTCTCCAAATAGGAGAAGGAGTGCTGGGCCGCGATGCAACATATATCAAAGGACGTGCTGGGTGGCTCACCTGTTCTTGGGGGTCCCTCGCAAAGGACCCAGATTTGGGAAGCCGATCTTTTAAAAGATCCACCAACAATCCGAAACAAACAGATATGAAGCCGGACATGAAATCACAAACACCAGCAAACAAGTATGAGGTAGACCAAGGATGAAAGCTGAAATAAAAACAATCAAGGAAAGAACTTGCACTCCACGAAAAATTCGCTGTCCGGATCCACCTCCTATAGGCTAGTGGAAGAGCGCAGGTCCGGGTGCAGGGCATGTTGTGGCCCTTGTGGCTGGCCCTTCTTTTTTGACTGAGCTGTAGACTATAGACGACCATTCCATCATCAACCTGCGACCCAACCACACTTTTCACAGAGCTGTCAAAATCAGGACTTCTTACACCCCCACGACTCACAACAGAGGGCAGCGTAGCGGCGCTTCAAGCACCCTTCAGGCCTTAGGGCATGCCTTGATTTGCTACTAGGGATGCACCCCCTACTATAACCTGCGGATCTCTTCAAGACTTTGGTGGCAGACTCATGCCCAAACTTTTCGGCGTTCGCTCGGTCAGGTGAAAGGTCGTTCGCCTGACCCTTGTCGCACGAATGATCAGGCCCAGCCTTGAGTTGAAGTTGGAGAATATGGCACCGTAGCGGTCGCGCACCCTCAAAATGGATTGCTTCTCTGCGACATGACTAGAGACATTGGAAGCAATTGCCGCGCAAAGTGTAATCATAATACCGCCGCATATAGAAACAGCTAGCATCAACTAGCTGAAGACATCTAAAAACTAAGTTTGCCGAGCGCTTGATTTTGCGACCCATTGCTTGAAGTTGCCTCTCATAGTGCCAATCCAGTGAACTGCGTGAACCCAACTTGTACGGATGCTCCTGCTGCCGGGGGCAGGTTCTCATATATATCACGAAAGCCAGCCGATAGGCTAGGCTGAAGTTGGTTTGGGCGAACGAAGTGATTAAAGGGGGTGTGGGGGGGGGTGGTCGCACACAGGCCAATTTCGGAGGGCTAGCCCAGAGCCTGGTGGGGGAGAGCGAAAAAATGCAGGCCCGCTTGGATTGAAAATGGATGGTTTTTGGGATGGTGTGATGCAAGTGATGTAATTGACGGCGAACAGTGCATCATTAGCAGCATGAGGGGCTCAGGAGGCAATGTAAACCGTCTTCTACCAGGGGTGGGAGTTCATGTCGATGATAGGAAAGAGGGGACAACGCGCGAAAAGTGGTTGGAACTCTGCAGGAAAGGGAGATGTGCGTCTTTGGTGGTCTTGAAATAGTGTTCGGCCAGGGGTGAAAGAGAGGTGTGTGTCAAGACACTGTGTGATCTGTGAGGGCAGGAGAGGGAACAGAATGCTGTGTGGCAGGTGGAAGACAGGCATAGCGGAAGAGGACGTGGTAGGAAAAGATTGCTTGCAATAAACCTTGGAGTTGCTTGGGGGTGTCCTTTTTTCATGGTGAGCACGCCTGTCAACCATACGCAATAGGGCACCTCATCTAGGGTGCGAGTTCATGTAATGACGCGGTCCGTTCAAGGCAGGAGAGAGAACAGATTGCAGCGGGCAAGATTTGAATTGCTTGGGGGTGCCCTTTTTTAACGGTGAAGAGGCCTAGTTGCCAGCTTCTTGTCTGCTGCTGAACAAGCTACTTGTGGGGCTTTGTTCTTTTGCGTGCTAGCTCCATGAACAGCCCCGGTGTCTCAAACCCTTGATGATGGGGCTGACAGTTCTTGCGACACTTTCAGCGTCTTTGCAGTGTGCAGGCTGTGTAGAGGGGCCGCGGAAGAGAGTGTGTGAGTGAACGCGTGGCCTCAGTGCTGCACCGGGTGGAACCGGCCAAAGTCTTCTCACAAACAATGTGACCGGCTCTTGCGGTATGCAAAAGAAATCCAGCAGGCTCCGCTCACCTCCTCTATAGAAATTTCTGTGTTCACTCAGGATATTTATTTATGTATATATATATATATATATTTAAAGGCTTACGCCTAACAGCCGGGCGCCGGCCCACTTGGGTCTGTGTAGGGCTGGGTCGGGTGCACGTTAAGCTATCGGGGGCGTACTGGGCCCTGGGTGGTGCCAAGGTGGGAAACTGGTCCGCGTCGGAGATGGGGGCCCTATATTGAGCAAAGTTAAGCTATCTGGTGCGCATCTTGGCCCTAGGTTGGGCCAAGTTGGGCCCATGTGATCTATGTTGGGCACATCTTGGGCCCATGTTGAGCCTATGTTGAGCCTATGTCGGCCTATGTTAGGCCTATGTTGGCCTATGTTTGCCCAGGTTGGGCCTATGTTGGGCCTATGTTGGCCCCATGTTGGCCCTATGTTGAGCCATCTTGGAGGCTATGTTGGGCATATGTTGGGGATATGTTGGCTATCTTGGGCCTATGTTGAGGATATGTTAGGAACTGTAAGTCGTCTGGAGGGCCTCTACCCACAAAATGTCGATTAAGCCTGTCCGCCCGGCGCGCATTACCGACACCACCCTTGAAAAACACAGCATTTTTGCATTTTTCCCTTTTCCCCCCGTCGTACTTCGATATGCGCAATAAACCCTGTAAAACACAGTGTTTTTTATACCTCACACACACGATACACTGTAAATTACAGTGGCTTCAGTGACCCGGTAGTGACGACGGGGTCCCCCCGTTTTGGGACCGAGGGTCGGCGGCAGCCAGGGCCAGCGTCTATAACCTTCGGTTACCAACCGAAGGCCTCCGGCGAGGACACGGGCTTCGTGGCCGGCGCCCGGATTTATGAGGCTTACGCCTGACAGCCGGGCGCCGGCCCATTTGGGTTTGGGTATGTTACACATACGTAACCTCACGGAAGCCTGCCGATTGCCTTGCCCATGGGCCCCCCCACAGCCATCTTTGCTCACTGTTTGGCTACATGCAGCAGGCAAGCGTGTGTAGGGGTGCCTTTTTCACCTCCAAAACGCCCGACAAATGGCGAACCTACGTATTCTAATTTCTATCCCTACCCCCCATCGGGGTGGCTGCGATGTCAACTTCACCCCATAAAGGTACTCTTTGCCCGATGTTAGCCAATCACTTCATCTTGCACGCCAAGTTTTTGATTCCATCTGCAGGACATGGATAACAAACAGCTGGCAAGCGCCCCTGAGTTCCTTAGGGGTGCCCTTTTTCAGCTTCAAAACGCCCTTGAACCGAGCGAAAAAGGGCCGTGCATTCTGCTTTCTATTTCCAACAGCAATAGCGTCACTGCTGTGTCGACGTCCCCCAATAACAGCGACAATCTCTCCCCCGCTCCTCGCGTGGTAACCTTTCCTCGGTATCAGTCTATCTGCAACACAAAACAAAGCAACAGCGCGCCAACCCCCTCCGTTACTTGGGGGCGCCCTGTCTTATCTTCACAACGCCCTTTGAGCAACAACAGCAGGGGCACCCCACTCCCCCACCTTTACTGCGACTCTCCACCTCTGCCTTTTCTTTCTCCATTCTTGGCACTGTGCCAGTGCGCTGCCGACTTCACCCCCCATTGCCATGTTGATGTCTTCTTACAAAGGCTGGCTTTCGTCCCCTCCCTTCTCAGGTATATATAATATAGATATATACACATAATACATATATATATATATACAGTATGCATAACAAACCCATCTTTTCACGCCCGCAAATCAGTCTGCAGGCCCCGCCTAGCATGAGCCCTCCCTATTCGTAAGTCGCTGTGCGTGCACTTCGATGAAGTTCCGCTGCCTGTCCAAAGAGAATGCAACATGAGTGCCCTGACTGATGCCCCAAGTGAGCAACGTGAAGAGACTGGTATGAATAGTTCTGGTATGACTCGTTTTGGGTCATGGTTATGAATCAATGAACCAAACCAACACCAATCTCCGCGTCCCCCGCCCCTGCCTCTAGTTTCACTCAATGGTCGGCGGATCTGCGCATGAATCTTATAAATCCAGTATAGGGGTCAGAAGCAGCAGCAGTTGCAATGTGCAAAGTTGAGGACAGCTCAACGTTTCTCTTCTCAGATGACTCGGCCCCTTTGAGTTCGCCCCCAGGAATTTATCGGCTTTGCTTTTGCATGCCAAACCCTCATGAAGATTGTGCGGGGGCGGGTTCCTTCAAAGCACCAGTTGGCTTACTAACCGCGCGCGGGCCTTTTGACCAGCTGAGCGAATGTGAAGTGGACAGCAACTGCAGTGTGAAGCTAACGGGCATCGGTTTGGAGATGAATGACCTGCTGGTCGTGACGAGTAGCTGTGAAACAGTACTGAGTTTGAGTGGCCTCGTGGTGGGTTCGCTGCACTTGGACAATTCTTTGCGTGCTCACATAGGCCAAATTCCGGCAGATACGATGCCTGGGGTCTATCAGATGTGTTGGTGCCCCGCCACTTCAGATTGCTCTAACCTCACCTCATTCCGAGCAGAGGCTGGCAGGTTGCAAGTTAGTTGCCCCAAAGGTCGTTATTTTGCTTCATCAAAATGTGCGTTGTGTGGGCATGGGTTCTACTGCCCAGGAGGAACCCAGATTGCAGCAAAACGCTTCCCATGTGAAGCGCACGAAACAACAGCTGTGCGGAATGCTACTTCAATTTCTGATTGCACATGTGACCGGGGCCATTTCTATTCTCGTGGCAATTGTGCTCCTTGCCCGATAGATTACTACAAACCGCTTGTTGGCAATGCCCCATGCATGAGGTGCCCTCCAGAATTGAACACATACGCAACTGGCTCAGTGAGTGACACTTCTTGTGTCCACGCAAGTGCTGTGGTGGACCAAAATGCGGTGTCTACGGTTCCTTCATTGACTTTCAACCTGTCTTTGCTTAGCAACAAATCCTACGACTTAGCGGGTGCGGGGACGAGCCCACTGCTTGTAGGTATCAGTAGAAGCATTTCCCAATTCAGCAGACTGGACGCGAACTTGATTGATTTAAACGTTGATGAGACTCAGGGTCCAAACTTCGGACAAGGTCGGCGCCTAGCATCATCAATGGTTGTGAAAGTCACCATGAGGTATGCAACAGAGGAGGAAGCAACCGAGGCTGCACAGGAGCTGGATGTCCAACTTGTCTCGGATGAAGTCATGAGCAGCCTCCGGACATATCCAGAGTTTTCTGATTTCCTTGTCAAAGCATTGTCCGAGCCAACCAAATCATCCACCATTATACAGTGCCGGACCAATGCGGCGAAACCACCGGGCGTAATGATTCGGAAGCTAGATGATTGTCTTTGTATGCCGGGCTTTGGCTACGAGGAGACGCTTCAGAGTTGCGAACTTTGCCCGCTTGGAAAATACAAGAGTACACTTGCAAACAAAGATTGCACAAACTGTGATGACACAAACGAGAAGTCAACTCTTGAAGTTGGCGCCAGATGGATTGAAGATTGCAAATGCCGAGCTGGATCGTTCAATGACAGTGCACATGGAGGCTGTATGGCTTGCACAGTTGGCAGTTACTGCAATGGCACAGGAACACAATTTGAATGTCCTCGTCACTCTACCACAACAGACAGTCGATCACGAACAATATCCGATTGCGTGTGTGAGGCAGGATATCAGCTGTCAAAACGCGCGCATTCATCCGAAGACTTTTTCTGTGAGTCATGTTTGCAAGGTTTCTATAAGCCGAATGCAGGCAATGACACATGCTCGCTTTCTTGCCCCAAGAATGCACTCTCTATTGTCGCAGCAACCTCAATCCGTGATTGCTATTGTTTGACTGATCACCACGCAGAGCTCGACGATGCTGGCAATTTGTCCCGCTGTGCAGGATGTAGTCGCTACAGCGGCTTGCGTTGCCCAGGACACTTTGAGTTAGCTGGTCTACACGCCCAACCAAGAGCACAGGAGGGTTGGTTCCAGACAGGCAACACGACTGCCGTCCAGTGCCTGGTTGAGTTGCCCAATGGAGCTAGTGCGTGCCGCGGTTCTGCTCAGTGTGAGAATGGCACACACTGCTTTGTCAACAAATGCGTGGATGGCTCAACTGGAATGCTTTGCGGTGAATGCCCCGAAAACTACGCTAGGAGCAAGTATTTGCAGCTTTGCAAGATGTGCCCGGACTCAGACTCTGGCTTGACTATGGCCATGATGGTGCTGGCAGATCTTGGACGCATAACCTCTCTCAACTTTGCAATGGCCTTACTGGCGGCCCAAGGAGCTGGAAATGCTCTCAAGCTCCTCGGCATGTAAGGACGAAGCAAGTTTGTTTCACTTTTGTGATGAACCCAACCAATGAGCTTTTGTGGGGCCTCAGCATGTAAGGCTTGACTCTCCTATGATTCGCGTAGTGCAGAGCTGGAAAGATGCATGTAGCATCCTTTTGAGCTTCAACTTGAATCGCTTGCTACCGCTGAGTTCTGCAAGGGCAGATACCGAATGCGAAGAGTGTGACGAGCAGCACCAGCAAAGGTTCCAATGGCCAATGGAAATCACCGCTGCCATGGACTTCGTTCTCTCCTTGGTCTCCCTTGTTCCCGAGGTGAATGTAGATTTTGCAATTCAGTGCCACGCAGAAGCCTTGCTTCCTGGCAGTATGGCGGCCAAGAGGCTCGCGCCTGCCCTCTATTACCTTTTCCTTCCCATTTTGTCTGCGCTGAGCACAACTCTTCTTTGCGCCTTTGTGGTGTACGTTGTGGTCCCTTTGGCAAAACTGAAAGGCATTCACTTCAACGACGCAGATAAGGAGACTGCAAAACGTGCAAAGTACATTCGTAAAGTGGTGAAACGGGCACACGAGCGGCCGCGCCCAGAGAATGCTGAGCTTGTGTTTGCCAACGTCCTGAGTGAAATATTGGCAAAGAATATCAAAGACGCCAAGCAGCAAGAGGTGACTTGACTGCGCGAGCTGCCGTGACACCTATTGTTTTTTTTGCCCTAGGGTTACAGAGGTACAGAGGTACGTAGTGTTTTTGCAGCGTCCTGTAATCTCTGAAGAGTCAGGTCGAGAAGCGTTTGCAAGATTCAGAAGTGGAAGAGATTTTGAAGCATGTGGCCGTCAAAGTCGCGGAACAACGGGATTCTGATGTGGAAGAGCTCTTGAAGGAAAGGGCTGTGGAAGCTTGGAAGTCGAGGGAAGAAGGCCTAAGATTTCAACACTGGGAAAGCGTTGAGAGTGCAGCTTGCTGCAGTCGTTGTTTTTCCTCATCAACCGAGCTGACTACTGAATTCCGCAAGACATGAGCCTTGAGCATAGCATAATTGTTCTTAGACGTGCTGTATAGTTCAGATTAAAGCATATCAGTAATACGTGCACGTAGCTTCCTTTTATCAGTAATATATAGCTTCATATTCCTATAATCTATTCGCCCATCGGATTTTAGCCTGAAGGGGTTGGCGTTGAGCAAGGCTATCTTATGCGGATAGACAAGATTATGCAAGACTTTCACTACCATATCTCCAACCGCCGCGGAAAGGCTCAGAAAGCTCCAAGTTTCAGGGCGCGCGCGACCCTTCTAGCTTGCGCCGTTCTTTTGGGTCACACCCTGTGATACACTACGCGGGCCTCAATTTTTTGAGATCTGGATTTCGCTTGCGGCTGTGCAGCCGTTCTGCGGCTTGACAAGCGATGATACTGACACAATGTTCGCGCTCTTGCACAGATCGCCATCCAAACGGAGCTGTATCCGAAGCCCCATGAACCATTACGAACCTGTACAGTCCAAAGCGTGAAGCTGTCGGCCGTAAATGTGAGCGATTGAACTCTTAAATTCCTAAATGACCGTGTGAGAAAGGTGTTCTCACAGAGCGTTAAACATCTCCTCATACCATCCCAGCTTCCGTCAGAGCATTGGACATGGATGCCGGAACAAAGATGATTGCATCCACAGCTGCATCCGAACAAGAGCCAATCTGCGCTGACATTCCTACATTTCCAGCCTAATTACAGAATGGGCCAATGACTGGAAGCGTGGCAGACAGGGCGTGCAACAGTGCAACCAAAAACCGTTAAAGCAGCGACCGTTGATGACGCGACAGCCTTGTGGTATATTCACCGAGCCGTTACTTGTGTTTCCAACACGTATATAATGGAGAACAAACACGAATGAGGTATATAGGAGGGAGGCCACACTGAAGGAATTCATATGGCTGAGGAGGAGTGTCCAGGTGGTTCAGTTTGGTTTGAGTGCGTGGGGCTATTGCGTTGGGACGGGGGTGTTGATGCGTGTTGCACATTGCTCAAAAGGTGGGGCGGTGAGGCGGCTCCGTGGGCGGGTTGGGCGCCGCTGGCCTGGTTCACCCAAACTGGTCAAGCGTGCAAGTGCTGGCCGGACGAATTGACGGGAATTGGTGGTATGATGCGTTATGGCGATATGAAGTGAACTTGAGGCGACAGTGAACTTGAGGCGACTCGGCATGAACTGTCGCTCACCACCGTGGCAGAATGGTCCTGTACCCTCTACTCCCTGGAAATAAAAAAACGGATTACAAAGTCCTTGAGATCAAAAAGCAGAAGTAACTTTTAGTAGACTGTTTTCCCCAGCACAATCACAGCGCAACCTGTGTGCCCTTTGACCATCCAGTTGCCTGTACGCAAAGGGACATGATGTGGACAATGTGCTGCCAAACTTGTTGTATGGTACGGGTTCCTTGTTAAAGCGCGCGCAGGACATTCCAAGATGGACGCCCTTGCTGGTACGTAAGTATCGTCAAAGGACACTTTGCGAAGCAAGTACGTTGAATGTTGTGTGTCTTGCGAAACACTGAAGCAACAACTGTAGCCACTGTAGCACCTGCGACTCGCGACTTGTGTGAGCCAAGGCTATAGTCGATGTGTCTCTTTGCGGAGTGCCCGCTTGCACGCATAACAGCGATACTGTACGGCAACAGGCTGTCCAAGGGATGCAATCTGCAATATCCCCCAGATGCGCTGTGGTCAAAAGCTGTCCCCCAACCAGCAGTGCCAGTGCGGTTTCAACACTTTAGGTGGTCATGGCCAGAAACCGGCAGATCTCAAGGCCGGAATTCCAGCGGCCCCGCATTGCTGGGTTGGTCATGTTTCGCCTTTTTTTCCTGCAATCGAACATTCCCACTCAGCCTGCCTCAGCCGCTTTCCACTGTTGACATTTTTGGCCAGACCAAAGTTGCAACTACTGGCTTGTACGTAGATCACAGGTAACTGCCTTGTAAGGAAGCAATTCACCTTGTGCACATGTCCGCCAATCCTATTGCAACTTCAGCAATGTAGGTTTGAGGCCCTCAAGTGCGCAAGCTTTGGTGGCCTGGGACACGACAGTAACCACACTACACACTTGCGAGAGAGCTCATATGAGCGACATTCAGAGTGATTCTCGAAAAGCATTAGTACTTTCTTTTTTTTGCGTTGGACGAGTGCACTAGCCCTTTAATGCAGAAACAACGTATGAGACGTGAGAGTCTCATGCGCTGGCAGCCGGCTGAGTGAGTCTCGCAAAAAGTAACTTACATTTTCCATGTTTTTTGGAATCATACCCCCGGGGGCGGTGCAGGAAAATGTAACTTGATACGTGGGGACGTTCTAAGTTACATTTTTAGAAGACTCTTTCTGAGGATTGGAGGGGGGTCAGCAAATGTAACTTGGAAGCCTTGATGCTTCGCTTAGCTTTCTGTTTTTCCTATCGTTGCGTTGCTTCTTGTTGCTTTGCTATCGTTATCCAAATGAACCTCGTTACATTATGTTACATTGAGTACCCGCATCGGAGGGGTCCCCGCATGACCAGTTTGAGCGTTTCCTTTCATGTTCCTCGTGTTTTGCATTCATTTCGTTTCATTCTCGTTCATGTTGCGTTCCTTTCCTGTTATTTTTCTTCGAAAGGTACTCAAACCGGTCATGCGGGTACTGTACCCTCCCAAGCGAGCGCTTGTTATTTTGAAAATGTAACTTTACATGCTGAAGGCTCTTTCCCTTTAGACATTTCCCTTCACTTTGCGCTCATTTCCTTTCCGTTCGCATCCAGTTCCTTTCATTTTGCATTCATTTCTTTTCATTTCCCTTCCATGTTGCGTGCCTTTCCTTTGAATTTCCTTCCAAGGTGGTATTTGCTGGTAATGGCCCGTGGCCCCCGTTGTAGGCTGGCTTTACGCAAATGCGTATTCCGCGCAGCCTTCCACCTGTCGCTGCGCCAGTGTCTGCACTTGTTGCAATGGTGCAATTGTCGTTGCTGGGGCGGGAAGGTTGAGTGGCGGTGGGATAGTGATGCGGATTCGTGGTGGAAGAGTGGGGCGCGCGGTTTGATTGTTGGCTTTGCTAGCTGGCTGGCGCTGCCTTGGCAGCCTGGTTGCTTACTCCTTTCTGAAGGATGGAGCTTGCAAACAAACTGTACGTGCGACGTGTCTGATTGCCGGGAATGTGGCGAGCGTCGATTGGTCGGTATAACGGACATTGTTTCCAAATGTGGATAACTGGATAACTGCCAGGAGCATGATGGATTGGTGGTCAGGTTTAGTGTGCCTGGTGGACATGGCTGCGATGCGTTGTGTGTAGTGTGATGTGAGGGATTGGGTGAGTGGGTTGGCCAGTGCTGCGCTGGTGGGTGGTGCAGTGTGTGGAGGGAAAGATGTCTACTAGTGACAGGTCAACTAGTGGTAGGTCTACTAGTCGCAGGTCTTCTAGTGGTAGGTCTATAGTACTAGTGGGTAGGTCTTTTTGTGGTAATGTGTCGCTGCTGCGGATAAGTGTTTCCATGGATAGGACACGGCTTCCGAAGATCTCGAGGTAGAAACTAGTAAGGTGAATATGGAACAGTACTGGGGATGTGGTGTTGGCCCGGAAATAGTGGAATATCATAGGCGTGTAGCAGTGTGGCGTGGTGAATGTCATCTGGTGGTGTGGTGGATGGGACAGGGTGCTGCTGCTGACAAGTATGGCTCCATGGACAGGACGGCAACGCCGGCGTGCCCTTTTGTGTGGTGAGACGGGTTGAGTTGTCCGTGCAACTGTAGTTAGGTTGCTTTTCTTCTTATATCATTATTGAACCAACTGGAGTTCTTTGAAGCAGCTGGGAAGAGAATGAATCAAACATTGACATTTTTTGCGTGTGAGACTTGTTCAGACATTGTTTACAGTGACCTCTGCAGCATGGTTCAGAATGCAAGGCGAAACCATGTCGAGTGAAAGGTTCGAGCAAAAAAATCGATTGAATGAGTCTGAAGCGGAGCGTCCACAAAGGGACATGTTGGGTTCATCTCTCCTGTTTAATATATATATATATATTTGCAGAAAGCGGCGCCGCCGCAGTGGGAGGATGCTGCTACGCACACTTGAGAGAGGGCTCATATGAGCGACATTCAGAGTGGTTCTCGGGAGCACTAGCGCTTTCCTTTACTGCAGTGGACGGGCGCACTGGCCCTTTAACGTAGAAACAACAACGTATGAGATAGTGGTAAGCTCTTTTAGAATCACAAGGTCAGAAAGTGACATTCGATGCAGGTACGTCCGGAAGTCTGGATATCACGACCAAACTATCACTGTCTTCGTTGGGCAGTGAGTGATAGTGGCCCACTTTCCCCTGGTGTTGAATTGGCAGAACGCTCTTGGGAAGGTAATACAATGGGAGGGTACGGTAACCCACACACACGTATAGAAATGCGAACTGATGTGAATGCGGTGCCATGCGCCGGCCTAGGATACCACTTCCTAACAGTGCAACTAAGAACCGCCGGACCTGGAGGTCTTCAAAAGGAGAAGGGGCCAAAAGTGCAAAGTGAAGCCGAGCCGACAAGTGACCACGTCTGCTCTCGACTGCCGAGCTCATTAGACCTTAACGAAATCCTAAATTTTGTGCAGGTACACAAGAAGGCGTCCCTCCTCGCTTCACCAGTTGTGAGCCCGTCTTCGCTGGTCCGGGGCCAACTCACAACTGCCTGGACTCCCTGCTGAGAAAAAGCAAAAAGCAGAAACATTCCAAAAGGAACTTCGTGACTCCAGAGGAGACACACACACGCCTCCCCGAGCGTTCTTTTTCAGTTAAGCTCCGGACGAGGGTGAGGTAGCAGTGAGAAAGAGAGAGAGAGAGAGAGAAAGAAAGAGAGAGAGAGAAAAGAGAGAAGAGAGAGAAGAGAGAGAAGAGGGAGGAGAGAGAGAAGAGAGAGAAGAGAGAGAAGACAGAGAGAGAGAGGGAAAAAAAGAGAGAGAGACAGAGGTGCTCCCAGCTACGACACAAGCGTCCAGGGACACACCAAACAAGAGAAGAGGGGCTCCCAGCTATGATGCAAGCATCCAGGGACACCCCAGAGAGAAAAGAACAAAACGAGAGAGAGAGACAGAGATCTAAGGTCTCGAGAGACTCCAACGAGTCTTGAACAGGCTTCGGCCGCTGCGGCCACGTACGCCGTGCCAAAATGGCTGGCTGCTCAGACCGCTCCGGTCACCTAATGGCTTGCTCGAAAGCTGCCAACTTGTACTCAATAATCCAGCAAGTCTTGGCAAATAACTTTGGCCGGAGCCTACTTTGTCCGCTGCGGACTGCTTTGTATCCGGGCAGGGGATACGTTCGACAAACCCCCGTTCAACGGGTCCACAGGGGCCACTCTGCGGGGTCACCCTGGAGATGTGAATGCGGTGACACGCCGGCCTAGGTTACCATTTCCTAAGAATGCAAGTAAGAACCACCGGACCTGGAGGTCTTCAAAAGGAGAGGGGGCCAAAAGGGCAAAGCGAAGCTGAACCGACAAGTGACGACGTCCGCTCTTGACTGCCGAGCTCATTAGACCTTAACGAAATCCTAAAATTTGTGCAGGTACACAAGAAGGCGTCCCTTCTCGCTTCACCAGTTGTGAGCCCGTCTTCGTTGGGCCAGGGCCAACTCACAATTGCCTGGACCCCCTGCTGAGAAAAAACCAAAAGCAGAAACATTCCAAAAGGAACCTCGTGACTCCAGAGGGGACACACACACTTGGATGGTTGCTCGCAAGAGCTAGTATCAGTATGAAGTTCCACTTTAGACGAATACATTACCCGATGCATTGTAGACCTTGACTTGCAAACGGAATGGTGACTGGGTCGGCTGCAACTGTATGGTTTAACATGGGTGAAACAATGATTGCATGGGTTTCGGCAACGAGTCCATTAAAAAATTGGTGCAGGTACGTCGGAGTGGCCAACTCCAATATCGCCAGATCAAATGGCCGTCTTCGTTGGTAGCGGCCCCAAATGATCTGCTGCTACCCCCTGCCTCTTTTTCTGGCGTTAAGAAACTATAAGCTAGTAGCGATACCAGGAGCCCTTAGTAGCAAAACCAGGGGCCCTAGTAGCGTCCTTTACGACTCAAAACCTTAGGCGCAGGTGTGGACACACGCGCGAGCCGTACTCGGCGCGCTGACCCTTGCTTGCAGTTTAGCAGCGTGGCCAGGAGTCGCTAGTAGCGTCCTTACAACCTGGTAGTACCGTCCTAGCTCCTGGTAGCGAGGCCAGAAGCCCCTAGTAGCGTCGTTGGTGTCCACCGGTCGCCAAACTTTGTACACATAGCGCCAATATTGGCGCTTTTGTTGAAAACTACTAGCGACCTAAACAGTCTTAGAAAGACAGAAAAAGCAAACAAAACAAAAGCAGACTAAGAGGGCAAGAAGGAAAGATAGGCGTAGTTACGACGCCCACTTAGTTAAATGAAAGTAGAACGCGAGCGGGGCCTTTGGTCTTAAACCGCCCGGGTAGCTAGCAATAGAGTAGGAGAAACGGAAGGAAAGGCGCCAACACACAAGTGTGTTGAGTGCGATTTCCTTCCGTTGCCCGAATAGCGGGTGGGATAGCAACCGAGGCAGGGGTAGGGAGGTAGGGGGGAGGGTGGGTTAGGGTGGCCTGTAGGCCTTGCCATCATTGGCTTTCAAGTATAGCCGATTTGGACCGGCGCACCCCTTCTCTGAAAGACACCTGGAACCTAAAGAAAGGCCTCAAGAAACGAAACGCAACAAAAGGAGAGAAAGAACCGAAGGGCATGAAAAACATGTAACAAAAGCACAGTGCGTAAACCCACCTGTGAATACTTAGACGCATGTTTCCATGTGAAATCAAGGTTTTTGATCACAGTAGGCCCTGCGGCATAAGATCAGTGGTATCGTGCTTCGCTGCCAATCAGAGACGATCGAACGAAGTTCAGGAAAGCAAAACGGAATATCAGGAGGATTCCCCCAGGATCTGGGTCTGTGCACACGCTGCGCCCCTTGACGGGGATCACACCACAGCCCGCAGTGGGACCCTGCGGCGAAACACACTTAGATGGTTGCTCGCAAGAGCTACTATCAGTCAGTATGAAGTTCCACTTTAGACGAATACATTACCCGATGCATTGTAGACCTTGACTTGCAAACGGAATGGTGAATGGGTCGGCTGCAACTGTATGGTTTAACATGGGTGAAACAATGAGTGCATGGGTTTCGGCAACGAGTCCATTAAAAAATTGGTGCAGGTACGTCGGAGTGGCCAACTCCAATATCACCAGATCAAATGGCCGTCTTCGTTGGTAGCGGTCCCAAATGATCTGCCGCTACCCCCTGCCTCTTTTTCTGCGTTAAGAAACTATAAGCTAGTAGCGATACCAGGAGCCCTTAGTAGCAAAGCCAGGGGCCCTAGTAGCGTCCTTTACGATTCAAAACCTTAGGCACAGGTGTGGACACACACACACATCCGCGCACGCGCGCGCGCAATGTATTGTGGAGTGTCAAAGGCTCCTGCAAAGTGACCAGTGCCGCAAGCATTGGTTTCACCATGCGCAGCCAACAATGCATCCCGAGCCTCACAGCCATTCCACATTGAGTGTATTGCTTGCTCGCGTGACTTGAGCTACAACCATTAAAGAAGGGATGGAAAAATCTGCAGGGATAAGACACTGCTACCTTCCCCAAATGCCCCATTGCCTATTCTAGTGACCATTTTGATTGTAAATGTTAAGCTGTGACCGCGTTGGTTGTAAGTGAGTGTTTATGTTTGGCACAGTGCTGCACAGGTCAGCGCCACCAAAACCGTACATGGAGCAGCTCTTCAGCGCCAGATAGGACAGAAATCCAACTTTGTCCAAACCCGGCTCCTGTGGAATTTCATCTAGGAATTCAGGAGGAGAGTGAGCGCGAGCCGATCTACCACGGCTGTGATACGGTCCATGAAGCCAAGGCCGCTCAGTTTAAGGCTCCGGTTGAGGCAGGGGAACGGGATTTCGGGCTCTTCACAGGCTTTCCTCGGCCATTGAAATTGCTAAGTGAGAGTGTCCCTGTGCTGTGGTTGACACAGCTGGCGCTTTGGCCGCAACTCCTGACAAAGTTTTTGCAAATGGTGCGGTGTTCCCCATTCTTGGAAGAGAGGGAGGGCAGTGTGCAACCAGTGCACCGTTTGCTTCCGCATCCGGATGTAGAATGCTACACCGAAGATCACGACTTGGCAATCGTTGCATGCATAGGCCTTTTGGTTTGGTCAATGGGCGTTCCTTTGCTCCTGTTCGCGCTGATTTGGCGGCTGGATGAGAGACAGGACCCTGAAGCCTGTCGAATCTACGGATATTTTATCCAGGGCTTGGATCCAGCATTCTGGTATTGGGACATTGTTGTCAAGAGAGCTGACATCTGCTTGATGCTAGTGGTGGCCTACACCACTCTAGCAGATGATGACAACGCCAAACTGCTGCTGTTCCCATTGATTTCAGGCCTGCAGCTTGGAATCACTGCGTGGACGCAACCATACAAAAACTCACAAGCTCAGGCCCTAGACTCCTTGGAGTTTGTGCTTCTGACCAGCAGGTTCGTGTTGTTTAGCGCCGTAGCGGCCCTGCTAATTTTTTTCCCTTCTCCAACAATTTTGCGAGCTGGCGGAGCTAGCCTGTTGGCGATGTTGATGATGATCGTTGCCTACTCTGGCCTGCATATCGTTGCGCACTTCGTTCGCAGCGCAGCAGCTGATTTGAAAGAAATTGAGAAGAAGACCAAGGACCAGGACGGAACAATTTAATATGTTGCGCTGTGGCAGCGTGTTTCCTTCAGACGCTTGTCTTGGATCTCTTTCCTGGCCATGACAGGAGCCGCCTGCTGGACTTGTTGCACGTATCTTGAGCCCCTAGGCTGCGAATGGGCCTTGGTTTTGGGCCGGGCTGAGGCAACTATACAGCGACGTCTGCCCCACGCAAAGTTGTTCTAAACAAATATGGCAGCCGCAGCAGGAAAGAGGATTGTTCCGGGCAATGTTTTTCTGGGTTTTGAGGTTTGGTGTTGTTCCGTAGCCGCAACTCCTCATCCTTGTCGACTGCTTGGCAATGGGCGCTTCCGGACCTCAACAGTAAGCGCCAGATCACACTGGACAACCGCGACACGCAACCGCAACACACGACCACAGCACACAACCGCAAACGCGCAATCGCAATGCGCTGCAACCACAGCACACTCGCGCAACCATAACGCACGCAACCGCAACCGCGCAACAAAAAACGCACAACCATGCAAACGCAAAACCACACAAACACACAACCGCGCAAACACACGACCACACGACAACCACACAAACTCGCAACCGCGCAAGCGCACAACCGTGCCAACGCACCAAAAAACAGAGCGCAAACGCGCAGCCACGGACGCGCAAACGCAAACACGCAAACGCGAACACGCAAACATACAACCGCAAAAACGCAAACCCGCGATCGCAGACGCACAGCCTTTAAAACACCAACGCGCGACCACGCAACCACAACGCGCAACAAATGAATGAAATGCCATGGTGGGGATCGCTCGAAGTAGAATATACCATATTTCTTTGCGTTTTGCTCCTTGTGGAACAAGGACTGATTTGAGTTGCGGAGATGGCCAAGGGACAGCGGAAAGGGTTAGGAAGGGCGATGCTTTTTCAACCGTTCCAGACTCAGGTTTTGGCGACGGTTCCAGCTGCGCAGGGGCTTTTTTGCATCAAATGGTTTTTGTCCAGATGGCGAGAGCCAGTGGGGTTCTTACTTCAAGTATAGGCTGAGCTGCGTGTGTGCGCTTTTGAGCCTGGGTGCTGTATCGCTGCAGGGCGCCGCTGCTGTGTGCGCATGGGTGCTGGTGGCGCCGCTGTGCGCGCTTAGGAGGGCGCTGGCGCCGCTGCCGGGTGCCGCTGCTGTGTGCGCATTGGGGGCTTGGGCGCTGGCGGCGCGGCTGTGTGCGCTTAGGAGGTTGGCGCTGCTGGAGGGCGCCGCTACTGTGTGCAGTTGGGAGCTTGGGTGCTGGTGCCGCTGCCGGGTTGCCTTGCTGTGTACGCTTGGAAGCTTGGGTGCTTGCGAGGCGCCGCTGCGTATTAAGAGCTTGGGCACTGCCGCTGCAGGCTGCAGGTTGCCGCTGCTGCGCGCGCTTGTTGAGAAACACGAGTGAAGAACTTGAACGCACTCATTCCAATAATATCTGGGGCTGGCCTAATTTTGCGACAGCGCCGGCCGCAGTATAGTAGTAGTAGTAGTTGTTGTTGTTGTTGTTGTCAATTGTTGTAGTAGTAGTAGTAGTAGTAGTAGTAGTAGTAGTAGTTGTTGTGGTAGTGGTAGTGGTAGTGGTAGTGGTAGTGGTAGTAGTGGTGGTAGGTCGTCGTCGTAGTCGTAGTCGTAGTCTTAGTCGTAGTCGTAGTAGTAGTGGTGGTGGTGGTGGTAGTAGTAGTGGTAGTGGTGGTGGTAGTGGTAATAGTAGTGCAAAGTTCTGTTGTTGTTGTTGTTGTTGTGGTTGTGGTTGGGGCGCAGGCTTGGTCAGTGGTAGGGGCAAGTAGGCGCGTGAACTGAAGCCTTCGTGTTCCCTGCCTGCGTGCGATTGAGACATAAGAGCTTGAAGTGCACATGTGATGGTGTCGACACGTTTGCCGTCATGTGGGGTTGACTGATGAACCAGCTTTCAGCTTTGCGCGAAACTCAGACTACTGTGCAGCTGAGGGTTTGTGAGCAAAGTGAAGGGGCGAGCGGTGAAGATATTGGAGCCGGTTCTTTTGCCTGACGAGCATCTCTTTTGCGCATGGTCACTTCACAAGGCTGTTCCAGCACTGGTGGAGAAGCATGCAGATCGTGGCTGCTCATATCCGATGGCATTTTGCATTTTCCTGGTCTTGTCTTGCCCTGTCAGATACTGTTACTTCTAAGTTACAAAGCGTGACTAGCTGGAGTCGCTCTTGCTTCAGCAAGGAATTTGAGAGGGTGGACGCCGCTCGCTCGTGTGGTGCAGTCGTGAAGACACGCGCAAATCGAGAAGTGAACGCAGGCCCTTTAGCGCTCAGAAAAAGTCCGCGTGGTAGCGGAGCTTTGAAGGCGATTGCTTGACTCTCGCTGGAGCTCCTCCGGATCTTTGGAGGCCGGACCTTCGCCTCCTTTCGCGCCCCTTGTGTTTCGTTCGCCCGCGCCGAGCTGACGTAACCTCATGTTGCAGTTTTTTCGCGATCAGCGCCAGCGGCTACTTCAAGGAAACCCTCACATTTGCTACTTCGCTGGCTCCACCTTTGTCCGTGGAGAGGTGGCAGTGACCTACGCACTGAAGTCGAAGACGCCCTTGACTTGGAGGCCCTGGGAGGACTAGAGCTGGGAGTGTTTTGTTGAGCTGGTATGGACGGTTCAGCTGGAGGGGTTGATTTCGCAACAGCTGGTTCGGCGGAGTTGGCGCAGGCCCACTGGCTACAGTGCAGGCAGCAACGCAGGCGGCTCAGGCAGCAGCAACAGCTACAACAGTGCAGAGCAGCGCAACAGATTCAGGTGGACAGAATAAGAAGGACCTTGCCAAGTTGATCCCACGCCCTGCAGTTTTCCATCCAAGTGATAGAGAACAAGAGATGCTGCAGTGGAGGGATTGGTTCTGGAGCTTAAAGCAATACTTGGTGGTGGTGGGCTCAGCCTATCAGGACGAGATTGCAAAGCTGGGAGAGAACTTGTTGCAGGAGATGGATTGGGAGCTCATGGATGGCAAAGAGCAGGAACGATCAAGATCCCTCTACAGCCTGTTGGGAGGATTGGCGCAAGGACGGTTGATCGGCGCCATCAAGAACGTGGACAACTACAACGGCCATGAAGCGTTGCACCAATTGTTGATGAACTGCCAACCGCAGGCGAGGAACAGGTAACAGGACGATGAACTTGTTGCAAGGGATCATGCCCTTGAGCGCCGTAGAGAGACAAAGAGCAGGAGATTGCTGAAGACAAAAGGAAGAGGATTGATGAGGGAAGTGATGCGGAAGAGCTCAAGGAGCTGATCCCCATCCAAGATCCAAGGCAATTGGACGAGCCAAAGAACCAAGCTGGACCTGTCCCACTGATGCCCAAGGCAGTGGAGGTAATGGAGAGTCCCGAGCCAGAGGCCAAGAAGTTCAAGCACACAGCGGCGAAGCTGGTTCATGAACTACAAGATTCAACAGCATCTTTTTGAGAGTGGTTGATGGAGGCTGAAGAATTAGTCTCAGCATCAACATCTCCAGCTGACTTGGACAGAGTGGATCGATGACCTTGCGGATACAGTGGAGGAGGAGTGACTGCAAAAAATGAAAGTCTTGGAGCGCTTGAAGAGAGAAACCCCACGTACAAGAATCTCACTACGCGCTTTGTCAGAGAAACCTCAACCTGACGCAGGACAGAAAATGCGGCGGAGGAGATCCAGGTTGGTAGCCCGCAAATACGCCAATGATGCGCGCACCTACTCTGGTGAGCACATCTTCCGGTCACTTTCCAGTTTTCAAAAATCTTCCAGGACGGCGCAAAGGAGCCAAAGCATGGTTTGATCACCTCACATGGTGGTTGGAGAAGGAAGGCTTCGAGTTCAGCAAGGAAATCCATGCCTAGGACGATGCGCAGACATGGCCTTGCTGATTCATGTGGACGACGTGCTGTATGTAGGTTCATTCAGGAGGAATTCTTGCCAAAGCTGAGAACTCAGTTTGAACAGCATGTGAAAAAGGTGGGTGACGCGTTTCAGTTTTCTTGCGACGGACATATGAATTAACGACAGAAGGTTTGCGCATCTATCCTGGAAAGTATGCCGAAGACATGGTGGACGCCTATGAGAAGAAGCTGGGAAGAGCAAAGCTGCAAAAGTTGCCATGCGGTCAGGAGATTCTCAGGTCATTGGTAGCCTGCGGCGTCTACTTGGTGTGGGAGAGAGTTGACATCTCCTTCACGGTGAAAGACCTTGCTGGGAAGATGGCGTATCCGGTTTTTGAAGACTGCCCTCGGTCAATACAGTCAGTTGGAAGTCGGAGAGGCAGGCCATGGATTGACTGCAAGGAGGGAGGTCTCAGGATGGCTGCTTGAGACCTACTCTGGTTCAAAACCTCATAGAAGATCAACATCCTCTGCCATCCACATGCTGAACGGAACAGTGATCTTTGCAAGCTCAAGAGGCCAGAAGTCAGTAAGCCTCAGTAGCGCAGATGCAGAGCTCAGTGCATCGGTGGGAAGCGCGGCAGATGAGGCGCATTGAATTCTTGGTGGGCGAGCCTGTGATGCATCATTGCCTGGTTGACAATTCAGCAGCTCTTCACCTTTGCCATCGAACAGGACCAGGCAAGCTCACCCAAGATCTCGTAGCGCAAGATGAGCTGAAAGTGAAGGCAGTTTTTTAGGTTCATAGGGTTCAAAACTCGGAGGAGCTTGATGTGTTCACGAGGGACTGTGTTCAGGAGAAGGGCGCGGTCTGGACTCAGGATCACTGAAGGGGGACAGCCAGTCTGATTGATTGGAACATCCGGATTGCTGGACTGCTGATCTGGACAGCGCTTCGAACTCGAATAACTGGCTTGTTCATTGAAGGAGTATGAAGGAGTCAATGAGCCAGCAGTGAGCCTTCCCGAGCAGACGCAACATCAGTACCAGCGCAAAACCATAAAGTATTCAGGGATGAGGGAGGAACGGTGTTGGTGACAGGCCCTTAGACGCCAGAATCATGGAAGCTTTGCAATCCTATGTGTGAAGTCTCAGTGGCGATGCCACCTATAGACTATAGAAGACTTTTTGAATGGTCTGCTTAGGACTTGGAGAATCTTCGCTCGTGATACGTTCTTCATTTTCATTGACGCATGCTTCGAACCCAACCAAGCCGTACACCGTAGGCATTGGATGTGTCTTAGTGAGCCCTGCAGGCCATCATCCTCTTGATTTCGACGCAAGCCGTTTGTGAGTTTCTAGGAGAAGGTATGAAGAAGACTATAGTCTTTGAAGCAGAAATGTATGCTCTCTTGGTAGGTCTCAAGGCTTGGAGTCACAGATTGTTCACTCGCCAGCTAGTCATTTAGGCTGGTAACGACGCAGTGAGAGGTGCAATCACAAATCCCTATTGAGAGGGAGCTGTTGGTGCAATGCTCGACTGCGTCAACAGCCTCGAAGCCTTTCATCAATTTCTGATGTGGGTTGCAAGCAAGGTTTCCTTCAAAATCAAACATTGCCGACGGGCCCTCTCGTGATGAGATCGAATTGGATAAACTTGGAGCTACCCATCTTGACTTTCCACTCAACTTCACACCTTTTCGCGGAGTTGCCTAAGTGGGGAGACCGAAAAGCCCCGCTGAAAAAGGAGCGCCTGCTTGTATGCGCGCGCGTCGTAGAAGATAAGCGTAGGCTCACCGTAGGTGAGTACATCTTATGTTCGCAGCGCCCTCCTTCCACGCTCTGCAGCAAACCGACATTCGGTTTTGCAAGAGCCTACCCAACCGTTCAAACGAAGAGCCCGATAACCCCGCAAACTCAAAAGCTTCCAACATCTGGAAATACACAACTTGGTGGCAACAATAGCTTTGCCCCAGACTTGGAGTTCTTAAAAGCATTGAATTCTAGGATTTTGTTGGGTCTCCTGGACTTCTTGGAATTGTTTGGCGCCGGCATCGAAGCCCAAGACGTGCAAGAACATTTATATATTTTAAAAGCAAGAATGACAATGTGGTGCCACAAATAGCCTGTGCCGGCCTTGGTCGTAGGTCCAATCGGAGGACCCATTAGGATGTCATAGGCAAGGGGAATGCAATGTATATGCTTAAATTATTTTGCGTATACCAACAAGCAAAAAGTTATTTTCATACATGTATTTCCACCTTTGCAATGAAGTGGTAACATCGTGTGATCAGGTATTTCCTTTGGATGTTGAACATTTGAGGTTACTCGCTGCTGTCGTTTGGAGGGTTGTCAGCGCGAGTGCTAAAAACTGACATGGCAGCCCAACGGCAGACAATCTCAAAGGCCTTCCATGACTTCAGTTTGCTGTGGATGCGCCACTCCACTGCGAAAGGTTTTCCCAGCATCAACATGTTGTGCGCCCTCGCAGTGACGAGACGCGACTTGCCCAGAAAACTTTCCACTGAAGAACTCAGCAAGAGTTGGGAGCGAACAATTAGAGCGTTACAAGACGACAAACGAAATTTGCATTTAGTTGGTCAGGACTAGGGCCAGGGTTTAAATTCAGGCATGTTGAATTACAAACCCCTGTGCATCACCCCTGTCAACGTAATTACTGATCCAAAGCAACCTTTGGAATTTATTCCACAAGGAAAATCCCTGCAGAGGACGATGCCGGCGGTGCACCTTTGTGCGACGACGATTTTGCGAATGCTGTCCACTACTTCTCGTTGCTGACGAAAGAGATGGCTGAGAAGGTGATGGATGCGGTGCTGAGTATCTTTGAGTGTGGCGCTGGTGACCCTGAGGCTCAAATACCGTTGCAATCCCAGAGAGAATCACTTTGCAATGTAATTTCTGTCAATTGCAATATATTTCTCATAACTTCGAGCGGCCAGGAGTTGACACATTCCAACGTGCAAAATCATTCAGAGCGAACGGGAGATGAATGTGAATCCAAGATGAACGTGGCTGCTGCTTGGGTCAAAGGGGTGTTTTTGAATCTCATAAAAGCAGTTGGTGCCCATAGGGCTTGGATACGTATTGAGTTTGAACGACAATAGCACAATAGACATAAACGAAACCCCTCGGTTGGCGTTTGAAACATGTTTGCGCTGCTTTCCTGTCTCAGGTTTCCTCAATTTCGGTCAATTGTGCCTCAAGTTCCGCTGATGTGGTGGTGGTAGTACCAGACCACCATCCGAGTGAGGTGGTGCCATTCGCTTTGGCAGAGGCCGACAGCCTGCAAGATGCAGAGAATGAAGTAGCTGGGCAGTATGGTATAATTTTGCCAACGCTTGCTAGGTGTCAGTTCCAAAATGAGCAAAAACCTTGGAACATCAGGCAAATCGCAGTTTCGAGGTGTTGCGGTTGTTGGCTGGGTTCTTCATAAACTTCATAAACTTGTTTGAACACACATACTCTAGCCACAATCAGCAGCCTGGGGCCTTGGAATGTCTTTACTCAGGGCCTTAGGTTTTGTTTGAGTCCTTGGCAGGTTTTGCATTCAAACTCTGAAGGAGATGCCCGTTACTACTACTTTTGTATCACTGTTCAGGACTGTTTTTCGCCGCAGAGAGAACTTCAGGCCCAATTGGCTGCAGTCCAAGGCCCCCTAACCCTGTTCAACAAGCCCTTCGGACATGTTTTGTTCCAATAAAAAACAACTCTGGGCTTAACTTAAGCTGGCTGTGTTGTTTGTCAAAACTACAAACCTTAGCGACATTAAATCTCCCGGTTTTCAGGGCCTGTGCCTGTGCTCCCAAGTTTCAGCTGTCGACTGCAGAGAGCGAAGCAACGTGAACAATTTGTGAAGTTCAATTGCACAATAGCCAAAGGCAATGTGCAAACGGGTCGCATGATTCTTAGCCAAGGTTGCGAAGCCAACACGAAGAACCTTGCGGCCGAAGCAGCGCGCGAAAGGTAAAGCCAAAGCAAACCCAAAGAGAGGGCAGATTGGCTACAGGAGGAATCCGAACAGGGGCATGGACCCACGAAGCCCAAGTCAGATTCAGATCACTGTTTAGGACGACGCGTGTATTCCTTTCTACTTCACGAAGTGAAGCAGTTAGGTATTTTGCATTCCAGGCAGGTCCATTGAAGTGACAGATTGGGTGGATTGGTGGTTGAAGCTGATCCCCAGCTGGTTTGTGACTCCAACAGCAGACTTGCAGAAAAAACGCCTAGTTTCTGAAGCAAGTCCAACAGCAACCACAATTTGTGTCGGCGAAGCAGCTTCAAGTTTGTGGAGCATGATGTGTGACGTGTGGTTCGTTTGAATGTACTGTAAGGGTGCGAAAACTGTGCAACGTGTTGATGCTCCTCACAAGAAAAAACATCACTTGCACTCATGCACCTGCGTGCCATAAGTCTGAGATTTGCTGCACCACCGCTGCACCCATGAGACTTGAAGGCAACGTCCTTTGAAGTGATGTAGCGTAGCTGTTGACACGCATTTGTTTACTTGTGACTCAAATCGAAACTCACTCAGCACTTGCACCTCAGGGACTTTGTTTTTGTGTTTTCCTGTTTTCCTGTTCCATGCAGTTGTGGACAACAGCTTCAATTACAAAGCAAGGCATCTTAGATGCCCAAGTAGGCACACATGTTAGTTTCTAGCGGGCTTGCGCAGCTGCATGCCCTGCCTCCGATTTGTTTGCTGCCCCTGTTTTGTTGACCGTCCATTAAACCCATGAGACATGAGGGCAATACCTGTCACTCTTGGCTCACTCATCAACCGGTGTATTCGTGTTGGTTTTTGAAAACAGTGGCAGGTTGGAGCCGCCGCGCGACCTTTTTATTCAAGAAGGGCATTGGCATTGACCTTTAACGTATTTGGCTGCTGACACGCATTTGTTTGCAAACTTGTCGCCAATTCAAGCCTCACTTCATAATTGCAGGGACACTTGCTGCTCATATCCAGGGTTGTCCTGTTTCACGCAGATGTGGACAGCAGTTTAGCTTCGGAACGCTTTGGTCTTCTTTCAAGGCTGCACCACGAGCGTGCAGTTCAATTCGGGCAACGGCCTTTGAAGTGATGTAGCGTAGCCGTTGACACGCATTTGTTTACTCGTGACTCAAATCGAAACTCACTCACCACTTGCACCTCGGGGACTTTGTTTTTGTGTTTTCCTGTTCCATGCAGTTGTGGACAACAGCTTCAATCACAAAGCAAGGCATCTTAGATGCCCAAGTAGAAAAACATGTTAGTTTCTAGCGCGCTTGCGCAGCTGCATGCCCTGCCTCCGATTTGTTTGCTGCCCCTGTTTTGTTGACCGTCCATTAAACCCATGAGACATGAGGGCAATACCTGTCACTCTTGGCTCACTCATCAACCGGTGTATTCG